TATAAAAAAAATCACAGTTATAGCTTTCGAAGTTTTATAGCACACTGATTATAGAGAACTAATAATGGATCCTCTTCTTTTGGCGCATTACGTTGGTTATATTTATAGCTGTGTGGAGGCGTTCTAGAAATTTCATTCTTACGTAAAAATACTAGTTAAAGCGTTTATGTACACACATATATTGTTGATTATTACTCTAGAGAATCTTCTATAACTTTGGAGAATAGGTGGGAGTTTCGCAATATATATTTAACAGTATAAGCAGGCCCGGCACGGCCAGGTGGTTAGGGCACTGGACTCGCAATCTACAGGTCGCGGGTTTGAATCCCCATCACACCAAACATGCTTGCCCTTTCAGCTTTGGGGGGGGGTGTCATAATGTGACGGTCAATCCCACTATTCACTGGTAAAAGAGTAACCCAAGAGTGTTAAATTCAAAAACAAAACAGTATGAGCTATGTATGTTTCCAAATATAAATTTAATCTAAACAAACATTGATATTAAAATAAATATATAACAACAAATTCGTTACACTAAAAACATAATAATAAAGAACAGAATTCAAAGAATACCTACAATTTTAAGCTAATCTGTAAAAGAAGAAGATATATCATTAAGGTTTGATTCTAAATGTTTTTTCATTCTTTGTTGAGCATTTACTTACACTTCAACAACATGTGTAATGCTCAGCAAAGAGCAAATTAAATTGTGAATAAAAAAGACTATTAATTAGGCATTTGATATGCTTAAAACAGAACAGAACACTAACAGTTCAATTAGAAAATAAATACAGATCTTGAATTACAATAGGAAGTTATAAAAGAAAAAAGAGCTTGTTGTTGGTTGTCACATTTTTTAACAACAGTTATGATTAATTCAACATAGGTTTTTTGAGGGAGAAAGTGTTCAGTTATACTAGTGCTTTTCTTTTTTATATTTTAAGACTATTAGTGTTGGTATATATGTTATGTTATGTTTCATACATATTCTTTCATAACATTTCTCTTACATCTCATAACTAGGCAATCAGTATATTTTAATGAAGCAATGCACCTGCTAAATGTACCTCCTTTTGCTCCACCATCATGGTCTACTCCAATGCATAGAAGGAACTACTACATATAACATTTGGTGGTGTCTTTTTTTTAATTTTTTGATATAATAACTTGGTTTTAAGTAATGGGCTTTATACAAATGATAATATCGAATTTTCTATTTGAGTTATATTTAATGTGTGATTAATATTCAAACATTGTCAAACAGTTTCTGTTAACAAAAGAAAGAAAATAGTACTTGGAATGCTGCCTGACAAACCTTTGAATGTTTAGAACTGTCTTCAAATTACAGGCTAGTGAAATTTCAAAAATAGCTCTTAAAAGCTGAAAAATTTTTAATTACTTATCCATTGAATGTCTACTGCCTTTTGATATATACATGTGTGTGTTTGTTTTCTTACAGACTCGTCTTCGTGGAAACCTAGAGTGGGCACCACCAAGGGCTCAGATCATCTTTAATATTCACCCAGAGCCAAAGTGAGAATGCTTGTTCTGTAATGAAAACTTTTCAAATTCCATAATCATTATTAACTGAATTGTATTTGTAGTTTTATACAAAAGTTGTATTGATTGAATATAAATTTCTTCTGACAAAGATATTTTAAAACTACAATTAAACCTCTTATGATACAAAAATAGTAATTACACTTATTGTAATACTTCAGTAAAAAGTCCTTACACTACATCATTAAATATCTCTATTAGAGTGTCACTATATGAATATTTCAATTTTTAGACAAAAGAAAATTGGTTTATTTCTTACTTTTTTTTCTTTATAAGTACTAAGTCTATGGTACATTAAACAATTAATATTCTGTTTTGCAGGCGAAAAGTAGTGATTGCAAAACAAAACTACAGGTGTTCAGGATGTGGTATGAAGATTGACAGAGGTATAATTTCTGCATTACACAATATTTGTATAAATGAGGGTTATATAGCTTTCTTGTATACTATTCAACAAGTCCATAATTATTTTTGTCCTTTAACTCTCTTGCTATGGGCTAAGCTGATATGACTGAGTTTCCATAATATAACTTTTAATATGTTTTGTGTATCTTCACAAAATCATGCAAGCTTTCAATAAACATTAGAAGTCTTTTGTATACAAAAAATCAGAATTTTGGTGATTAAATAGTGTCAAAGTGTTGATTGCTTCTAGTACAAAGTGCTTTTCAGATTAAGGTTAAAAAATACTTTATCTGAAAATTGTCAAATTTTATTTGCATAATCTATAAAACCTAAATAAATTTCAAACTTTTTTTTCAGTAAAACTATATCTGTTATTTTCTCTACCCTAACTCTATACAGTGTAGGTCGATTTGACCGACCTCATAACCACCATGCAAAAAATGTGAAATAAATCTAACTCACTCATTTTTTCTTTCTAGAATTACTGCAAGTTGTAACAGGAAACCACTATTGTTTATTCTAAATAGCTTAAAGCTTGTAACAATATACATTTGTTACTACTTAAATTTATTGTTTTATTGCCCTTTGAACCATATCAACTAATAATCCCACCACACAAGTTGTATAACACACGGCAAGCATGTAGCTCATATTAACATATAGAATTACATAATGCACGAGCTGCTTGCAAGAATACCTTGGGAAGAATTTTTTTTTTCATTATCTTATGTTATCTAACCTAATAAGTTTCTAATTTTTACATTTAATTACTTTTATAATAATAAGTAAAAAATATGTATGAAAACTAGAAATATATTACTTACCTGGGTCTTCTTTCTTGCTCTCAACTATTGATGATACTTAAGTGTACTTTCTTATACTAATGGTACTATCATAATAAATTGTTTTATTTATTTAAATACTGCACCTAAGAACACAAAATAATGTAAAAGCAAACAATGTCCTATAACTATCATAATTTTTCTGACTTTATTACTATGTGATAAGAACCTTTAAAAAGTCAGCTAAACTCGTTGATGTGATTCCCATGAGAATAAATTTGAAACTGAACGAGGAAAAAGCCAATGGCATGTACAGAAAACAATAGAATATAATACATCATTTGATAGATTAAAACTTTGGCTTCCTATTAGTTATAAATAATATAGTATAAAATGTTCAGAACTGTTGGCAATTTGTGAAAGAGGTGACAGATGGGTGTGACAGGTGGGTCTGATTTTCTAGTTTATGGCTCCATAGACAAATAAGATTGAAGGTTATAAAAGTTATGCTATGCCTTACTAATAACTATATTATACTGAGTAACTTGCGTACTTTGCAGAGGTGTGGTAAATAAATTAGAGAAGAGGGGAGACTTGGAGAATAAACACCATAATTCTTGCACTAGTAGAGATTGAGGATTTTTTACATATTTCCTTATAAAACTAAGAGCTTAAAATTTATATAATATTAAAATTTTATTTATTAACTGCATTTGTTAATGAAGTAGTTTAATTAAATTTTGAAGATAACTCTCTAAAAAGTAGTGACAGGCACACTTTAACCTGCCCATGGTGAGAGTGTTAAAAGCTTTTTATAATAGAATTATTGAATGTTCTTTGATCCATAAACAGTTTAGATTTCAACTTCTTATTTGAATTATAGGATTAAATTCCTTTTTTTTCTGTAATTGAATATTATTTTCTGAGAGTGTAGTAAGTGCTTAATTATTTGTCATTAATGTGTATTCTTACTGAAATATGTAATAAATGTTTCTTGTTTTTGTTTTTTACAGTAAGAAAATGTTGTTTTCAAAGGACATATTAAATATGTAATTATCTTAATTAAGTGTTTTTCTATTAAATGTTTAGTTTTCTCTATAAAATAATTTTTTTCTTGTCTGATATTTGTAATTCTTATTTTTCTCTGGTAGATTATATTAAGAGATTTAGGTATTGTGAGTACCTGGGAAGGTACTTCTGCCAATGCTGTCACAGTAATGCTCAGTCTTATATACCTGGCCGCATCCTTTTCAAGTGGGATTTTAATCGTTATTATGTATCCAGTTTTTCCCAAGACTTGCTGGAGAAAATTTTCACAGAACCTCTGTTTAACATTCTGGACATAAATCCTTCTTTGTATCGTAAAGTTCGACAGTTGGATTCAGTACGAGAATACCGAACACAGTTGTTCTACTTGAAAGACTACATAGGAACATGTAGAAAGTGTGAAAGGTAAGTAGTAATCTAGAGCTGAAACATAGAACCTTCTACAATTTGAGTTTTCAGCTAACTACACTATTCCAAATAATTAAAGAATCATATAAACTTCTAATTACCTAGTTAATACAAGGCAAAATCTTTGTTTTAAAATAATGTCAATTACACCCTAATCTGATTGTTATGAAAATCAAGCACCTGACTAACTTTCTTGTGATATTTATATAGTGGTCTCATACAACGTTGTCTCAGTCATCACTTGAAGTGAACCACAGAATTCAGTGTACTCCAAATTATTCATGAGCTATAGCTAGATTTTAGAAAAGATATTTGTATGTTTTACTCATGTGGAAAATCATCAGACAAATGGAAGCAAAACAATCGTAGCAGGCTGTTTTGAATTGCTCAAAATGTTGTTAGAAGAATGTCAATTAATTCCAAACCAATGGCATTTTTGTTTGGAATCTAGACAAGATATCTTCATCAACAACATAAACAAATGACCTCTATCTGTTGATTCTGGTTTACTGCAGTTGTAGGACTCAAGCTTTGGAGTTGAGTCAAATGGTTTTACCATTAAGAATGGCATGTAAGTGTGTGGACAGAAACAGACTTCTTAAAACCAGCGTGTATGTCAGATAGTCATTGAGATGCATTCCACTTATAGTGAGACACAAACAAACTTGCATGTAATGATGCCAAGTAGACGAACAACATAAGTATTATTGTTATAAATTAATTATGCATCACTCTGCAGCCATAGAGCAAGTTTATGCTCATCTGGAGAGAATCAACAGTATAACCAATATGGTGGTGGAAGTATGGTGTGAGCAAGATTAAGCATTAATGATTGTAGTAACTTCTACATCATGCCAAATGGTGCCATCATTATCACACATGACCCTTTTTTACTACCATTTACATGTAAAGTAAAATGACCCTAATTTCAGTTATTAAATACATTCCTTGCATAAAAAATATTGACCGAAGTGAGTGACCTTCACACTCGTCAGATTTCAGTCTCATCAACCATGTATGGAAGGTTGTTGGAAGATATATCACGTTTCAGCAAGTGATTCGAGACAATAAAGATGCCATGAAAGCAGCTCTTTCAATGGAGTAATTAAAGATAACTCAAGAAGTTTTCAATATTTCAAGCTGCAACATTGTTGCTAACCTGCCCTTTGTTGTTCATGGTTACCATGCTCCTTATTGAACTTAAATTTGTAAATATGTAAAACTATATTTACTAAATGTATACAGTAGAACCTCGACATTAAGGGCACCCTTCTGACTATGTACAAATGTCCTCTATAGCAAGGTACCCTTAATATAAAAAATGAGCCATGCAAAGCTGGATTCCATTTTGACCATACTCAATTTCTGAATTTTGAGGTCCCCCATTTTGTGTGGTGTATGCATTTAAAGCCATTTTTGTTACATGTATGTAAGCAGAGTGTTTTTGTGTATACTGTAAAAACATAAGTAAATGGAACAAAGAAATACATGTATGTGTTTTTTTAATTTATTTTTATTCTATAGATATGAAAAATACACATACATGTAAAAAGTTACCATGAATTTGTGCATCATAGGCATTAGGTCATTAGCACAAATATGTGTATAGCAAACATAGTTTTATTCTTTGTCATTGGTTATGTGTCTACTGTCATTGGTTAGGTGTTTACTTTGTAAAAAAGTTTTAATAGATGATTGTTTGTTACATATAAACTGATGGTGTTGCAATTGACTACTCTTGACAGTCATGACAGTGTCTAAAATGTGGAATTTATAACCTATGTATCCTACAGGGTTTACAATGAGAATTCTCCAGAATAATAAAATTCCACTTTGAATATGTGAAAACGTTTATTACAGTATATGGTTCAGAGCTATTCCAATAAACATTGCAAGTGTCTGAATATTAGTCATTCTTCTGGGATGTTTGGAATTTAGCCGTATACCATACAGGCATACAAAGATATTTGTGCACATAGTTAAAATCCTATTTCCCTTTCAGCAAACTTATTCATCTATCAAAAGTACTCTTTATTCACAAATGCTTAAATTTTAGTTATTTTTATTAAAACATAGAAGAATATATAAAAAATAATTTGAAAACAAAGATTTTTGAGTACCTACAGTATTATGAGTAATAGTAAAGTTATGTAATAAAATTTTGAAAATAACTCTCATGATGTGCACTTTAACCTGCCCACATTATCAAGTGCCCATATAGAGAACGAGACTAAAGACACTGCCCTTAATCCAATATATTGAGATGCCCATTATTGCAAGATTTATTTTGGTTACAAATAGTAATCAAATGAAAGAGACAGAAAAGGTCTGCCATAAATGGTGCAGTGCTTGTTGTTTTGAGGTGCCTGCTAATTGAGGTTCTGTTTTATATATGTTTATAGGCTGAATGGCCTGTTGCATTCAGGTTGTGTAATTGATTATCAGATGCTTGATGTGCATAAAAATTTGATTTTATGTGTGTGATTCATGTTAGTTTATAACAAGGTTTCTACCTTCTTATATATATAATATTATAAATTCCATTTATTCTTTAACTCTTTCAGCACAGGCTCGATCCCTGGGACCGACATCATTGTCATTTTGTGCTTATTATAGTTTTCATGCTATAATTTTTAAATTGTAAGCAAATGTTAACGAAATTTGGTAGATTATCAGTAAGAATTACAATGCTTTCATACGATAAATATCTAATTTTTTTATCAAGTCTTAAGGTTTGTAAAGCAATGTTTCTCTCATGCCTTTTTTTTCTTTTCACATCTTGTCTATCTATCATGCAAAGTAATTTTCATTTTAAGATTAAAAATACTTATACGCATCAGAAAATTTTCAAATTTCACATGTGAAATTGTTATAATGTCCAGATAGTTATGAAATGTTTCTTAAGGAAAAAACTATATTTTATCTGTTATTTTCAGTAATTAATCTCTGTACGGGTTCGGTAGATTTGACCAATCTTACAACCACCATAAAAAAAGTTACGAAATAAATATAAATTATGCCTCTTTCATTCCAGAATGAACACAAATTATAACATGAAAACATAAATGTTTGGATTATAATAGCTCAAATCTCATAACATTATACATTTATATATATATTTATTATTTACATTATGTTGACCTTTCAGCCATGCCTGGCTAACAGTACAGAAGCTACAATGATGCAGCTCATGTGCACTCATGTTACTGTATCAAATAACATAAACTGACCTTTGGTTTGTGCAAAGAAACTTGTCTTGGCTATTTTAGTAGACTAGTATTTTGTAAAATACAGTAAAATTTCAATTATTATACATTATATATGTATATAGATTGTTGCTATTTTGAAATAAGTTCTTAAACTTATTTTTCTTAAAACATAGAATAGTAACTAAAGAAGTAAAGCACACAATTATCTCTTATACTTATGACCTTTGTACTCGGTTGCTGCTTGATGTAGGTTGCTAAGCTTTTAAAAGTTTTGCACGTGGAGGATATGAAACAAAATAATTTTTTTAGGTTTTATATATAAATTTGAATAACTAAAAAATTATAAATTACTACATCAGTACCATAGAACTCCACTATAATATATCAAGCTTAATAACTAAGATGTATTTAACTCTAAAAAAATATGAAATTACGAGCAGACTAAAGACATCCTATCTCATGAAATCTTGGTTCAAAAGAAAGCAATGGTGCTAACCATGTTAGAAAGGCTGAGGAAATCACTAGGGGGAGGACATTCTGAGCTTATTATTGGTTATTCATGTCATATATAGAAGTAAGTGTTTATAAGGGAGTGTTTCCAAAAATGAAAAGAGGTGGGCAAGGTGCCACTGTGTTTGATTTATTACATGAGCAATATCTTAGCAAATAGAAAAGATAAGACATTCTTATCTTATATTCTAGCTTGTCAATATTGGTAATTTGAGTTTCTAATTTGTTCAAAACTGCAGACTTAGTATTTTGAATTCACAAACATCTAATTTGAACCAGTGCTACATTCAACATACCACATGACACAAATATTGATGTTTATCTTTGTTTTTTTTTTATATTTACTTTTAAATTAAGAATTGAGTAATATATAGTACTAGAATTTGAATTATAATCTACAGTTTGATACCAAACTTTATGACATAAATTCATGAAGTAGTAGTTCCATAAGATTTTGATAGCGAGTCAACAAACATGATGATATGGCCTTTCAACCGTGACCCATCTCAAAAGGGTTAACTGTTAATAATGCAGGATTTGATAAGTATTATTGTCATAGTTATCAAGAAACCTGATTAGCAAGTTTTCTTATAGAATAAAATTTTATTTTGGTAACTAAACTTTTCCAGTTGAAGAACTTTAATAATTCGTTTTATTTATATATATATATATATATATACATATTTATGAATTCTTTTAAATTTATATTCCCTTATAAATACACATTAGAAAGTTTAAATCTTAACAGATTTGAAAGAAATTATGAATAAAAGTGAAGAAACAAGTTAATATCTTAAGGTAGAATTTATTAGTATATTATAGAAATATATACAAGAAATAAAACAAGTTGAAAATAAGGAAAGAAAAGAATGGAGCTTAAAGTCCAATTTGAAATGTTTGTCAGCTGCTTATTGGAACCTTGAGCTATTTTCTTGTGTGATGAGAATGAATATGCATTGTCTAACTGATAGAATTATGAATGGTTTTAAGATATGGACAGTAGCACAGAGGCACTTAATTATTTGTGAAATGCTCTTGTGTGAACACTGTTCTTTAAAGCTTTTAAATAAACATCATTTTTGAATGCAAGTTGCAAGTGAGTTTTGGGTTTCAGATAAATGCTGTGTTGAAATCATGAATAGTCTTCCAAACACAAGAAGTAAGTAGTTTTGACACAAACTATTATGTTACCATTTTAAATATGTAAAGCCTGTGAAGCAGTGAAACCAACAAGTTCAATGAAAAACAACTGTAGTGTAAAATATTTTACTGCACCTTACACAGAAATTGTTTGGTGTGATAGAATGTAAAAAAAAATTACAAGGTTTGACACAGAATACTGTACTATACACATAAACTTACAGGCTGTAAGATTACTGAGTTTGATACAGAATACTGTACTGCATTTGTGAACTTGCAGGCTGTGAGATTACTGGGTTTGATACAGAATACTGTACTACGTGTATGAACTTACAGGCTGTAAGATTACTGGGCTTGATACAGAGTATCGCACTACATTTGTGAACTTACATGCTATAAGATTACTAGGTTTCAAGGAACAAAATAGTTTGGTGGATTTGATTAGCAGAAACTTCTAATCAATATTGAATTTGATTAGCAATTAGCAAATATTGCTTAGCATTTTTTTAGCATTCATCATTTTAACACATTACAGCAACTAAATCCAGCACTAAAAGTCTTAACTCTTTGTAAAGACTTCCACTAATGTAAAAAAAGTAAATGGTATGTTTTTATTCTAATAACACCTTTATTCAGCTTCAAATCCTAATGTTTAATTATACCATACATGGCATTTCATGAACAAAATAGTTCCTGATATATAAAGTAAAACTTCAAAACTGCAAGAAATACCAAACACCTCAGCTGTCACAAAATAATGCAACAATCAATTAACCAGAGAAAGAAGTGACTTGAAGATATTGCAACTGAACAAGGTTGCCACAAATCGTTTTTCATGTTAATCTAGCTTATTTCTTTCTTTTCTTTTTTTTTGTGAGACCTCATCACTCTCTTCCCAATGTAGTCTCTTTGGCGAGTGACTTTTCAGCAGTAATTAACCACCTTACCATGGGCATCCTTTACTGTGCATGTCACAAGATTTTTAGTGAGTTACATCCAAAATTTAATTAAGCTACTTTTTGCTTGTTAACATTATACCAGTTAATATAGCATAAAATTATAGCTACTAATTCATATTTTAGTAGTATATAAGTTTTAAGTTCTTCATTTTATAAGGTAATATTAAAAAAAGATCCTGAATTTCCCCTAGTGTGAAAAAGGTGATATTTTTTCTGTAGGCATGCCCTCTTTAATTTATTTACCACCCTCAAAGAAGTACAAAATGTAAGCATATTATATTATGTTGTTTTCTATACAGAAAAATTTTAATTTCTGTTTCAGTACAAGAAATGCATTGACTAGATTGGATAAATTTGTAAAAACTCTTGTTCGTAAATGTCTCAGTGCTAAATGTGCAGTGCATGTACTGTACATATGTAGTCTAGTCTAAATGGCTATGGTGCCGGCCCCAGCTGGGCACTTTCCAAACGTCATGAACAGACTAGTGAAAAGTGTATGCAATATGCTCATGACAAAGTGTAAAAACACTATGTGCTATTTGATGTGAATTTACAAGAAATGCACATCAACTGTCGTTTTGGTATATCAAACTGAAAGGTTATGGCACTTTCACTGTGTTGTTGGAGGTCTCAAAGACAACATATAAGATAAAGGAACGATTCGAATGTTATACTAAGCAATGAGGAATGAGACTCGCAACTAAGCATTGTTTTGTTATGCAAATTGGGGTGCAAACCCTGGGTATTTTGTCCCATGAGGTTTGGTGAAAATTACTGTACTGCACATGAACTTACAGGCTGTAAGATTACTGGTTATGACAGAATCTTATATAGCACACATGAAATTGCAGGTCGTGAGAATACTATATACATGAGAGTATAGTGCAGAATTTATGGCTTTGTTGATTTGATGTAAAATGGTGACTTTCATTAATGAATAACTTATGGATTGTAAACATTATCTGACACAGACTGCTGTACTACATACATGAGCTTATAGGGTATAAAAATATTCAGCTACACTAAATATTGTTTCAAATCTTACTGGACGTTTTCACAAAATATTGTAGCTACACACACACATATACTTCAAATTAGAACAGGAGAATCTGTTATGAAAATCAAGTAATTTTAATTTACATTAAATTCCTTAACATCTTAAACAATATTTTCTACTCTTTTTATAGACTGCAGGAAGAATTTGATAAATCTCACGCTTACCTGATGAATGAAGTTCACACCTATTCAATTCAAGATCTTGTCCAGGTAATGAGATGTTTATTTGAAAGTGTGTTTTGAAGAACATCTTTTACATTAAAATTTTTTGCCATCATCAAAGTCTAAAAATTCATTTGCCTTTGACCTGACTAAAGAGATATTATGTCAAAAATGTTGTGTGTCAACTAAAATATTGTCTTTTTATACTTTAAATCATAATTCCTTTAATGTACTATTAAGTAGAAACAAGGGCACACCTGATAAATCACATGTTTAACAATCTGTATATTAACAAATAGGCTTCTGCAACTTTAAACAATATTTTATGATTTTACTTTGTTTTTTGCTAGGTGAAGTCAGGGAAGGTACCAGAGAGACTACGGAATCTTGTGTTACTTTCAGTAAGCCATGTAAAACAGTGTGCACTATGCCATGGAAAAGGATTTATATGTGAAGTGTGTAGAGATGGTTGTGATATTATATTTCCATTTCAATTGACCAAAGTAACACAGTGCCAAGGTAAGAATATTTTTTTATGGAAACAAAATGTTTATGGTTTGTTCTTCATGTAGAATCATACTATGTTTTAAGTGGTTAATAGGCAATAAAACATTACAAGAAAAGTGTATTTTCTGATGCATCTTACCTCCACTCACAAAATAACTTTTTTGATTAGTACCGCATTCTATCGGCACAAATTTTCAATGCTTGCCACTAGCCTTCCACCACCCACTTCTGCATATTCACATGTAAATGATTATGCAGCAGCTCTCCACTAATAGGGGAATGACACAAACCCTATTGTAACCATTGCCCTCTCCACACTTGCACTCATTAATCACTTCTCGATTGGCAGTAGTAGTGTACAGATGTGCTCGTTTTTGCTCACAAATTTATCGATGTTTTCATTTATCCTACAGACTTAGTTTTTCTTTAATTTTGCTCATTTTTGAATTGTGAAAGGTTGCTTTTTTCAATTTTTCTTACTTTTTCATATTCTTTTTGTCTGAAGTTTGGAATTGTCACTATGCTCTTGCAGTTTCATGTAGAGTTACAACTGCTGCAGCTGTTACTGCTGCTGTGGGATTACCAACCACTATTACCAGAGTGAGTACCCAGTTATTGGCCAAGGACGTGATGGCAATTATTCAACAAGAAAAGTCCACATTCATGCAACCTTCACCACCACACGAGGAAAATATGCTTCCCATATTGGATAATTTACCGAGACCTCCTTCACCCTTTGTGGAATTCAGTACTCAGATTTTTTTTGTCTTATCCTTATCTCCTGTTTCCTATGATTCTCAACCAGCTATCCTTGGTGAAGTATCTATGGGCCAATATTTAGTGTTCCCTCCCTCACCTGTTGTTGGGGTTCATGCCCAGCATTTTGAGGATCAACTTTGGTTGGGAATTAGTATGCCTCATACATCTGAAGATCATGCTTATGTATTTCATAGATCTTCCTTCTCTTATCTTGATTCCCAACATTTAGAATCTCTCATTAAATTGTGGAGTTCAAATCCTAATGCATCAGTGAATTTCTCACAACCTCAATTTTTCTGTATAAGATTGATGTTATCCTCCTGCTGTTTCTGTGTGTCGCCCCCCCCCTCCTTCTCCCCACGTCCAACCCTTTGCATGGCTTCTCATTCTTCATCCATTCGCAGTCGAGTTCTTACTCTGAGGTGTTTCAGAGGATTACAGCATTGGTGATTCTGCCCCTGCTAGGCTTTTCCATTTTTGCCATATATGGAAACATTTACAACAGATCCATGGATACTACAAGTTATTTCAGAGGGTTTGGCCCTTCACTTCCATTCCCCTTCCTCATTGTATCCTCATCCATTTGCCTTCCCCCCACTAAGAGATCCTGTTTCTCGCCAGCATCTACAGGAGACAGTTGGGGACTTACTTCTGAAAGAGGCTATAGAAATTGGGAAACCTTCTCAGCTGGGGTTTTACACCTGTCTGTTTGTCATACCCAAGGAGATTGGCAATTGGATATAAATTTATTGTCCCTAAACTGTCTTAACCCTTTGGTGGGTTTCACTTCCAGGTTGTGAATGATAAAGGTTGGCATGTCAGATAACTATCTACACATTCCCATCTCCCAGGCATCCCAACATTTCTTCCATTTTGTTTATCAGGGGCATGTTTACCAGTTTTGGGATCTACTATTTGGTCTGGCCTTGACTCTTTATGCCTTCTGCTGAGTAGTCAGTCGTTCACTTGACTGCTTCGTGCCAGAAGCCTTCATTTCTGCTATTACATGGACAACTGACTACTTTTGGCTTCCTCTCAGTTCAAATATGCTGTTTATACTCAGGTCATTCTTTGAGAGGCTGCCAGTGTGTTGGCCTATCAAGGTTGAGATGTCGTTTCTCAGACCCACTCAATATCTTATTCACCTGGGTGTGTTTTCCAATTCCTTCATCAGTCGAGCCCAGCCTTCTCCCCTTCATTAAAGGGATGTGAAACATCTCATTCACAGTCTATCAGCCTCTCCTTCTCCTGCTGCACAAGAGACCCTATCTCGTTTTGGGTATGTGGGCTTCTCTCGAAGCCGTCATTCCCTTTGGTCATGCCCACATGCATCACTTTCAGTGGGTGTTACTCAGCCAGTGGAGCCTCATTTGGGATCCTTAGATGCTCCTATCACCTTGCCTCCCCATTTACAGGCCAACTTTGCATGGTGGTTGGATTGGACCAAAACTACCATCTGAGTTCCTCTTCCACCGGATTGCCATCTCTTTACAGATGCTCCCTTTCAGGTTGGGGTGCATACCTCGACATTCAAGAGGTTTTGGGTCATTGGACACTGGCTGAATCACCCTCTGTATCAACATCTTGGAGTTGCTGGTGGTTCATCATGCTCTGCTTCACTTCTTGCCAGATGTTCAGGGGCATTCAGTGATGGTCCACTCACATAATGCCATGGTAGTATCTTATATCACCAGGCAAGGGGTTCCCAGTCATGAGATCATTGTTTCTGAATGTTGAATCTCCTCTTCTGGGCCCATAATCATCACATGAGATTGTTAGCATGTCATATTTCAGGTGCCCTGAATCTGGTTGTAGACCAATTATCTTGGCCCAACAAGATTCTCCTGACAGAGATTCACAGGTGTTTCGGGAGTTCTGTGCTCATTGGGGGTATTCCAGATGTGGATGCTTTTGCCACAGATCTCAATGCACAAATTTCATGTTGTTGGTCTCCCATTCTTCATCCTTTGGCAGAAGCTGTAGATGCTCTCAGTCAAAACTGGAATGGATATTACCTGTATACATATCCTCCTACTTGTCTTCTTTCCAGGGTCCTTTCAATCAACCACAAGTCATCCGTCTATTCCTACACTCAGGCTTCATGCGTGGCTTTTGTCTGGTCCCTCACCAGACAATATGGATTTTCCAGGCATGTTGCCTCATTGATTGCCCATCCTGTACGTCTGTCCTCCTTGATGGTTTATCAGCTACAATGGTATACTTTCTGCTGCTGTTCACTCTGCTAGGGATATTGTAATTCCCTATCACAGTTGACTGCATTTTTCACTTAGCTCTTTGATAGGGGACTGTCAGTTTCCTCGATTGCAAGCTATTGAGCTGCATTATCTTGCACATTCAGAGTTACTGAGCTTGCCTCTGTCTTCCCCTTTCCTGTGTTGTCTTTGTTATTTCATTCATTGTCTCTTTCCTGTCCTCTCCACCCTGTGTCTTTCCCGGATTGGAATCTCAATGTTGTCGTTCATGCTCTCACTCTTCCTCTGTTTGAACCTTTGTCTTTGTGTTCCCTGTATCACCTTTCATTAAAAACCCTATTCCTCATATTATTGGCTTATGGCTGGAGACGATCTGAGATATTTGTGATTGATGCTCATCGTTTGCTGTTTCGCAGTTCCTATACTATCCTATTCTCTGACTGTTCTATTTTGCTCAAGACTTCTGCTGCTAGGGAGGGTAGTTCCACTTTTTCTCCCATTTCATTATTTTTTATTTCCCACATCTATAACTATTCCGATCCTGACAGTCTCCTGTGTCCGGTCCAGGCCCTCCGATGGTATCTCACTTGTACTGCTCCCTTCCGTGGTTCCAGTAACCATTTGTTTATTCCATGGAATCCTTCCATATCCTGGGGGCCTCTTTCCCATTACCCTTACAAGTCGGATTCGCCAGTTAATTTGGTAGGTGTATTCTTCTGTTTTGCCTGAGGAGTGTCACCTTTTTAAGGTATCTTCTCATTAAATTCGTGACCTCACCATGTTCCTGGCTGCCCATTTCTTTCTTCCTTTGGAGGTCATCATTGGGGCCAGTATGTGGACTACACCTCATACCTTTGTTTCACATTATTTACATCATGTGGCCATTTCTTCTTCAATGGGTTTTCATTTACCTCCAGTCCCCATCTTACATACTGTGGTGTTTTTATGACTAGTGAGTACTATGTTTTTGGTATTTCTTTATTTACAGGGGCCTTTTTGCTAATGTATTGTGGATTCCACTCTGTGGTGATTGGTGTCTGACCAGGGATGTTTTTTGTTTGAAAATCTGCACTCACTTTTGACCATGCAAGTTGTCAATTATGTTGTAGCTCTTCCTACCACAGACCTGATGTACAAATCCAGATACTGCCTGGTGTGGGTTGTGTGTCTCCATTCAATTGTCATCTATGCCAAAACAATTACGTCGCAAGATTAGGCTATGCACACCGTAGAGATGGGGTGTTCCATACGACTGCTAGTAGTTCTCTCTAGTGATCTTTTACTTAATAAATATATTCGTTCCAGACCATACACTCATGGACACACATGAGTAAAGCAGACAGGGATTGCTGCCCATTTCTTATGCTCCGTGACTCTTCCTACTGTGGACCTGATGTACAATTCCAAATGCCACCAGGTGTTGGTTGATTGACTCTGTCGACGTGGTCGCTCTGCTGTTCAAAGTAGCATAATGAGGTCACTCGTTGTACTGTCTCTGATGGTGCAATCCTCTGGACTCTCCAACATGATTTTCCCTCCTTTCTTCTAGTTCCTAGCTGCTGTATACTGCACTGGTTGTTTGTATTTTGATTAGCTATATTAAAATACTAAAAGAAACATATTTATTTTATTCTAACATAAATAACCTGTACTTTACAGAATAAAACCTAAAACATGGGTTTTACTTAATTTGATTTCATTCTTCCCTGTTTTATAGAATGCATTTTCTCAACACTCTCTGTTCAGACTTTGTTAAATCTAACAAAGAACACTGTGGTAGGAGGAGGGATACCACTCAGAACACGTGAGGTCTTATGTAGCTGGACCAACCCCAACGAACACCTGACCCCACGGGAACTACAACTGGAGTATGGTACGTAGGAGAAACATCTCAGCCTGAGGGGCAAACTACAATATATATATACATACATAGACGTGACATGGCCTCATCATGACTGGGCCATCTCCAACCAGCACCAGACCCACTGGGAATGTTCATCTGAAGGATGGTAGGGAGGAGAAATGCAACGGAGGAAAATGCAATCTACTAGATATATATATATATTAATATGGCATAGTACTACAACAACAGTCCACTACCCCACTTAAATTTTAATTTAGGAGTGGTAATGTAAGAAATAGTTTTCACAAAATTGATTCTTTAAAAGTTAGATTTTCCTAAGTAAGGATTACATAATAAATGGCAAAACGTGAATCTTTTGTTATTTATGAGGTTAATCTTGTCATTATTTTTGTAGATTTTCATATTTTATGTTATATAATTATCAAGTTCATATTCTTCTTTATGCAAAATAGTTGTTTAACCAACTGTAAAAATTTCTGTTTCATTTACATTCTTTAACATGTATAATCTTACAATAATGGACATAGTATGTATGTGTCTATGTATATAACCAATACTTCTATGCCATCTGTTGAATGGCACCACAAACAAAAATCCATACAAAATTTTACATATTTGGGTATTCAATATTCAATCAGAAAAATAACTGTGTTATGTGCAACAATAATTTCTTTATAACAGAACACAATTTTAAGTACAAGTACTCTCCTCACAACAAGAACATGACTTTCACTAGGACTATACGTGAGGGTTTGATTAGATCTTTATTGATGTAATTTTTAAATGTAGTACTGAGCAACTGGAATTCTTAAAAAAACTATTATTTTTCCAATAGACAGTACCATATTTAATATATCAAAATATTACAGTTTATATCGGTAACATTTATGAAAATTTTGATCTCTGTACATTGAATCATTTTGATGCAATGAGTTTCAGATGACTAAAGAGCACAATCTAAACACTTTTCCTGTGCAGTACTTCCCGAAAAAAGAAAAAAAATTTTTTTTTAGAAAAGGTTCACTTTTCTAATTTTTTTCAGCAAGGTATGAATACTACAATTAGTAATTCAGTTCATACAATGATAAGGTTAAAAGCAGTATGTGGTAGACGTATATGGATAGCTATACAACATATAACACACTTTCGTATTGAATAAATGTGTGAATTTGTAATATATATATACACACACACACACACACACACACATTAAATGTATAGTTTTGGAAAGTGTATAAAAGAAAATTCAGACCCTTCACTGTAGCAATTATTTAAAATATTGTGAAGAAATTGATAATTTTTTGTTTTTAAGTCGCCATTTCTGATCAGTAATACACATCCAACAAAATGTTTCAGCAGATTGTGAAAATTTATAATATTTTTTGTAGCATGCTGGGCATGTTACCACAAGAGCTGTTTTGTCCCAGGAAAATGTTCAAAATGTGCTAGGATAGAAGCAAGGTATGTTAATTGTTCTTGTTTTTTAGCATTTAATTTAATGATATACTGTCATTGTAAGCTTACATGGTGACACAAAAGCAACAACCCCTTAAGATAAGACATAAAGCACTTAAAAATCACAAATAGTTTTTTTTTGACTATCAAGCATTGCATGTAGCATACAGTATTCTCATTTTTTAATTGCAGATAGCCCCCTTTCAGTTTTTTTACAGCTAAAACAAACATTAGACAAGATACCCCATATGGTATGCTATTTTTGATATATATATGGAAGGTAGTTGGCCGCTGATTTGATTAAGATGATTTTTTTCTGACTTTTAACACTGCATATTCACTTATGTATGAAACTTTTAATGTATCAAACTGTGAAAAGGGATATTGTGCTGTAAAGTAAGGGCAAATCAGTTGGATGTCAGAGATGATTGTGTTGTCGTTACTTTTTTGCATACCACTGAGGGATTTAGGATTTATGTTTTTTTACACTTAACCAGCTTCCATATTCTCTGTTTAAAATGAGAAACATGATTTAAAATAAATACAGAGATAAAAGGGTTAAAAGAGTATATTGTTTATTTTGAGAGTATTAAGGTGTAATATTACTCAAAACACTTAAATTTTAAAAATATTTGTACAAATTTCAAAATGAATGTTTATAGAATTCACTCACATGTTAATTGATGTTCTCTACAAGAAATAGCAATGTGCACATTTTTATTATTGAACATTAATACTTTTTGTGTATTAAGCTTATAAAACATGAATTAATTTAACCAACTTTTTTGCTTTTCAGAAAACGTCGTTTGGAAGAGGAAGATAGCCGTCCTTTACCCTAGTAGATGTTATTGAAGAAATTATAGTAATAATATAAATGATAAAACATGTCTAGTCTGCTTACTTTGTAAAGTCTGGTGCTAATTCTTGTTTCAGTGCAAAATGAACAGTTTTATTTAATAGTAAAATCTGCCTTAATTTGCAAAAATCTGTCCAGTCTGCTGTATCAGTATGTATAACCAGTGAATATAGTCAGGAGAGCTCTGGATACATTAAAACAGTGATGCTTAAATGTTGGAGAATTTATAAAATCATGTACTGTATCTTTAATAAAATAAAAAAACATTAGTCTAAAGAATTATAAAAGAAGCCAACATCTCAACCTTTGAGGGAGATATTTTTAGAATGAGGGAAAATGTGCCCTTCAGTGGGTGAAAGAAAAGTAGATTCGATTTTAGAAAAGCACAAAAAAACTTTAGTTGTCATTCAGATTATTCAATCGTTTCTAATAATTTCTAATTTTTTTTAAGTATTTTTTTTTCCCCTCTTACTACCAATAAACAAACTGTGTTAAATTATTGAAAATGTTTTTCGGGTATATGTAGCTACTAAATAGTAATTAGATAATAATTACATATACTGAAATATGAAGCTCAAATATGGTATAAAGTAGGGGTTGTAATCCCAAAGTTTTTTTTCTAGTTTCAAGATTTGAGTGGCTTAAATCCCAGAAGCTGAATTGGGATTCTAGATATTTTATTTATTTATCTTTTGTCTTGATCAAAAATAATTCAAGTATCTGCATTCCTTATCTAACTAAAATGATAAAAAAGTAAAGCAAACACAAAAGATTGGTAAACTTTGTCCTAAAAACTGTTACCTTAAGAATATTTGAATCAGATACATGTTGTAGGTGTGTTTGACCATGGTACCATCATCCAACAAGAAGGGGTCATTCAGTATCCAGAGCATAAGACAGGGCTGTTAATAATTTTTGCAGGGGGTTACTCCATAAAGTTTGGTAAGTTGTCGCAGGCTGCACATTCCTGTTCTGTTATTTAAATTACCTCAATATCGATTGTATAAAGACTCCATTATGTTATTTCCACAATTGCTGTGAGTCATGGAGGGCAGGACAGAAATGTCAGACTTGCGGGATCTAGCCCACGGGCTCTATTTTGCCTACCCCTGGTGTAAGCAATTATATTTAAGTATAAGCAGCTTTCTATTATAAAATTATTATTATATATTATTATTATTATTGTATCAAAGATTAATTAAGAAACAGCATTGATTAAAAATCTTTAAATGTAGAAAGATCAGAAAATATTATAGAAAACAAAAACTATTTTTATGCAGCTTGCATTAAGTAAATGACATAAAAAACATATTCAGTGAATTACTTTGTAGAACTATCTGAACTTGAAGGCATAAACTGTAGTCTAGTGCATTAACTGTTTGTCTCTACAAACTTTGGAAATATCACAACCTCCAAAATGATAGATATGCTAATTATATTTATACAAATATTTTAAGCCAAATTAGATGCTATTTAATAGGTTTATCTGGTTTCATGCAGTTTAAGTATTACCACTATGAGCATACCACCTCCAGTTTATAAAAAGTTAATACAGTCTTGAAAGTTCTGGGAATCTCATTTATAAATCCTGGGATTTTGGGAGCCCACTGGCTCATGGGATCCCCAGATGGGGCTTCCCTAAGTGAATTTCTTGCTCTTGAATCACCTCAAGTAGATGAATTTTGTGTTGTTAAAAAAACAACAACTGTAATTTACACTTTTTTTAAAACTCAGTTCAGTTCAATATATCAAACTTATCAATGACATCTAGACTCATCCAGCTTTGTGAAATCTAGATAACATTTTTCAATTTTTTGAAAGTTATGTAATATTCTAAGATTGATATTTTGAAATAATTAATTAGGTGTGCATCTTTATTAGAATATGCTAAGTTTGAAACAATGAAACATTTTTATAAAATGAGACTTTTTGTGTTATTTGATAAGATTTATTAATGACTCATATTATTTATAAGTTTAAAAATATCTTTCAAAATGTATTTGGTTTCAGAACACTTTGATGTGAACAGTATTTCATTTAAAAAACTTGATTTTTATAAGCTAAATATACAAGTATTTTAAGCTGCAATGTCTTGGTAAATTATTCTTCACATATTTGATGTATTTTTAGATTGTCTTAGGTAGGAATCTGACCAGTATTTTCTGATTCACCATTTCCCTGAAACTGAAGTACAAAAGTAAATACAGTTGTATATGTAATAATCGTTGAATGATATAAACAGTATTTTCATAATATCTAAGCAAACCTGCCATTAGTTATCTTGGACCTGAAAACTGTCACACAGTACCAGATTCTAGAAATACAAAAATATCTTTAAAATTAAGATTTTTTTATTTGTGATATTAAGAATATACATGTTAGAATTAAAGATTTTGTTAACATTTTGAAACAAAAGCTTATTATTCGAACCTAATTACATCAAGTGTTTTGCAAATAAAATTATCCTCAAATTACTTTTAAGTAGGTGCTGAGATGAAATACTGAGCTTTTAATGTAATCATCATGGTAGAAACGTTTTAGAAATTCCCAAAATTACTAAGAAAATGTTAATAAAGGAAAATCATATTGCGGTACTTTTTGTTAAGTAAAAACCTTAGTATCATATTTTTCTGTTGATAGACTAACAATTTTGTAACATTTAACTATTCTTTTTTGCTGTAGTCATTCACAGATAATTAAACCTAACTTTAAAGTTTATTTGACCGAACTAAAAGGTTCAGTTGATGTTAACTTGCCTGATAGTGCCATACCAATATGAGTAAAATATAATAATATCAGTGTATTTTTAAACTTGTTTGTAGCTGTTAAGGAAATATAGATTTAAAACTAAGGAATATCTCTTTGTAATATAGTGTAAAATCCTCTGTACAACATCGGAACATTCCGCTTAAAGTATATTTTAACATCAAATACTTAAGTACATATACTTTTATGAATTGTCTACTTGTACTTAATTGAATATTGGAAAACTGTATTTACATTGTTTATTATAACTTTTAGTCTGCTTCATAATGCTGTGTAAAAACATGTTCGAATTTTTTGAAAAATAATGAATAGCATTAGGGATTCAGTTACTAAAATCAAAGTGTTTGAAACTGCAAATCTACAGATTGATGGTAGCGTGATATATTTTGTTACTTTTATACTAAAGTGGAAGCTTGGTTAGTTGAAGATGTGAAACATCTTTAGCGTCAGTTTTTTTTAGCTAAATAAACATAAATTTAACAGTTTGATCACTGCTAATAGAGAATTGGTTTATAAGAATATTTGTGATGATTATTAATATACCTTATTTTTTTAGTAATACCTTAATAGCATGTATTATTCATGTCTTTTGTCTCGTTAATTAAAAATTTTTATTTTGTAAGTTATGTATATAAATGTTGTATATAAGCTTGAGTAATGCATTGTATACTGTGCTAAAAGTTTCACAATTAAAATACTTTTGAAATCCTAGATAAAGTATTGTTCCTTAGACATCTGGCTCATTCAAAAGTTCTAATGCATTTAATATAAGTAGTTATGATAATTCTAAAAATGTCACCATAATATTAGCACACACACACATGCTGAGTTTATGTATTTTTAACAATCTAAGATCAAATGAAACTATACAACATAATGCTAAAGCAAATGAAGATAAGATAGAATTTTAAGTGTAAACTTTATTCAGAATACACTTGAACTACGTACTAGTGACAACTAGATATCAGTCATAGTAGCCTAATTAACTAGTAATTAGATTTTACTCTGTTTCAGCTCCTAATTTGTTACCATCTTCAGAGAATCCTTAAAAAAAGACTGTTGTGAAAACAATCAAAATTCAAACTTGGATTTTCTAAGAAAGACAGTAGTCTCATTTCATTGGAACGTTTTAATTTCACTGATTATTTATATATTCGCAAAAGGGACATCAAATTTGATTACTTCTCTGCTAGGTTGATTGAGTGCATAATCAGATAGTTGCAAGTAGAGACCTTTTCTTTTTGTTATTGCATATGGTTCATATCCCACTGTGTTAGGGTTATTCCAGGTAATTATACAACCTTTTTTGACATGATGAACTATTGCAGACAGATGAACATTACAAATTCATGTATGTTTATTGAGTTCCTAAATTTGTTTTTCCCATTTATTGGAGTCCACAGTCACATGGGATGCTGTATAGTATGTTTTGTTTTCCATTGATTCTGTAGGTGATTTTTTTTTGCAGTCATGGCTATTATACTGTGTTGTGAGTTCTGATTTTATGCTGTATGTATATTTGTTGAGTGTTTTTGCAAGATCTTTGAGATAGGAGAGCATAAAAAGGATGTTAAATGTGGTCAAACAAATATTGATATTTTTTCAACACGTGAAGAATCTTGATCATAAAATCAATTGAAAATCACCCAAAATAATGCATAAATGTCAAAAGAATTGTGGAAAATTTGCTAATCCAAAGGTTGCCAAACTTAAACAGCTCTGAAGATCAACATAAATTGAACCCCTTTGTGATGTAATATGCTGTTAAACAGTGTATGCGTTTCTCTTCCGAACTGGCCCGGCATGGCCAGGTGGTTAGTGCGCTTGACTTGCAATCTGAGGGTCATGGGTTCGAATTCCCGTCCCACCAAACATGCTCATCCTTTCAGCCATGGGGGCATTATAATGTGACGGTCAATCCCACTATTCGTTGGTAAAAGAGTAGCCCAAGAATAGGTGGTGATTGGTCATGACTAGCTGCCATCCCTCTAGTCTTACACTGCTAAATTAGGGACACAGATAGCCCTCATGTAGCTTTGCACAAAATTCCAAAACAAAAACTCTTCCGAACAAATTTTGGATTGAAGAGGACATATGAAAATGTTAAAACTTGTATCTATAAATTTGGTGTTGTCCTGTACTTGTAGATCAAAAATTATTTTAAATGAAATAGGTATTCATGCTATTTCATACAAAGACATACCCAACAAGTTGCCAGATGCAGCATCTATGGATTTCTATGCAGCTAAAACAAGTGCTGGGAAACCATCTTCCTCATACACTAATTGAATTATGAAAAGCATTTTTGTGTTGTAGCCAATAATTTATTTGAAACATGATTTTTCATTTTATTTATTGATTAATGTAAAGTTTGTAAATCATGTTAATGAAAGAACTCTTTCTGAGGCCAAGTAGAACTTATAGTGAAGAGAAGAAAGTTGTAGCTAAAATGACGACATATAAGAATGTGGCAAAAACTAGCATAGACTTTCTCCTGAAATAAGAGATCTAGAGAACTATCATAAAAACCATGGCTGAGAGGAAACTATGGGAAATCCTTGCTACTGAGGATTAATCTGTACTGGTTACCTCCCAAACAAAAAAGAATAGGATGATAATGGTGGGTTATTATGATGACCATAGATTAGGACATCCTGAAATGCACTTAAGGGGTCTTTTGGGAACATACAGGCATTCACTGCTTTGATTCACCAATGACCAAGGGTAGTGGTAAAATGTATATGGTTGGTGAATTTACCATGAATAATTTCAAATCGACCAGATAGAGCAGCCAACATCTTGCCACAATTCAGCAAATCCTTGGGGCAGCCTGGAGCCTGTCCAACTAGTAAGACTGGCAATACTCTCAGGCTGCAACTGGTAGACTGAAGTCCATGCAGAACGTGACTAGGATATGTATCTTGACACATCACAACATTCTGCTCCAGACTTCTCTTTTGAAGTTCATATTCATCATAAATGTTGACAGTACTTCAGCTAATGTGTGGTAGATAAGTTGATAGCAGATGCCTATTGTACTATCATTTAATTATGATGGTGATGGAAAACAGGGGAGTCCATAAGTGTTGAATTGGATGACAAGGAAAAAGAAGATTTGGGCTATTTTCTTAGTAACTTCAGTACATTATTCCTTGAAATGTGGAGTTTGAGAGTACCGAGTTGATAAGGTGCAGTGTTCAACACACTATCATTTGGATGAAGAATAACTTAATAACTGGCACAATTTTTTTGCAGTTTCAACAATATATAGAACTAATTTCAGAGCTCATAGGTGGTCTAAGAAGGCACTCCTGAGCATGTTTTCTGCTGCTCATTATGAGATGATCATTGATAAGTTTGTTGATGCACTGCTAAACAAACTCATGTACCACATAGGTCTTGAGGACGTTTCATCTCCGGTGGAAGCAGTTTATGTAGAAATATGGTTCAAATTGGTCATATTGAACAGTACTCTGAATCAGAAGCATAAACCAACAGCAACTGGAGCTGTGAAATCCACTTCAAAGCATCCCCCAGGAACTGTGATGATTCCAAGACTCTACCAAGGTGTTGACCCACACCTTCATTACAGCGGATACTGCAAGGAATTGTGGTTTAGCCACCCTGTTCCGAAGTGGAACAGCAAGGTTTCCCAGTCCCATTCTTATGGCTGCACAGCAAGAATTTAGTTTCCAAAGATTCCAGAAGAATGAGGGACGGAGCACTGTTTCTATGCTCACATAGTCATTGGATGTGGAAATTTATATATTCATTTGTAAGACAGGATTATCAGGCACAGTTACCTTCTATGGTCATAATGCAACAAATGCAGAAGAGTTGAAAGCAACCTATGGCTGCAGCTACTCTTACTTGTTTAAACTAATAGAGCCTGAGTTAGGTCTGACCATTAGTTTAGGTAGGTGCAGCTATCAGCTTGCACCAAATATTATGTATCACCTGATATGTACCTATAACAATACATAAACATGAGTTTGAAATTCTAGTGGATGTAGCCAGGATCTTAATGAACCATGTCTAGTATTAGGTGCCCAAAGTGTATCCACCACTTTGGCAAATTAGCACAAGCTTCATTGTGGCGAATGACAATAAGAGATGCATGACTGGAAAGACATTTTATTGGGAATACCTCTGTTGAATTAAGGTAGTTGTCTCTGATCGTAACTCGGGCACTGATATTTTCAGAAAGGACCTAGTACAAAAATTTTCAGTTTAGGTGTACTTTTGCAACAGGTGAACTGAAGCTCTGTGAAAGAAAAACTCCTGATGCCAGAAGACTGGACTCGAGAATAGTGCAATGTAGACATGCATGTTGAGAAGGGTACCCAATGCTGCAAGAATGTAGCTGCACTGTCTGGTTCATCACAGAAACACCAAATGGTTACCTCACCAGAACATTCATTGAATATCTAGATCCAGGACGTTGCACAGCAGTCGAAACCGTTGCAGAAGCAATGGCAAAAAAGAACAACACATTAGCAGTGACAATTTTCCTTTTGAACGGGCACCACAAATAACTAGTCGGGAACTTTGGAAGGCGAAACTAAAGGACTCGGACATAACATGGATGCTCCTTACCATAGTGATCATGATGAGATGCTCATTTTTGTATGGTTATCAGGCTTGCTGCTGAATGGCAACATCAATGTACTACAAGTAGGTGTTGGCAAATATCTGATATTAAGATAGATATGTAAGTATGCTAATACATGGGTATCTTCAATAATAAATGAACCAGTTGGTGTGCATTTAATTATGTATACTGATGTAGTTTACACAGTAATGGATACACTAATATGCAGTTAGATAAGTTCCTGACAGTTGTTTTTGAGTGTAGGTGATAATTGGGAACTGGTGCATACCAATATGTTAAAAATAGCTTTAAATCCATATTTTCCAAATTTTGTGGTGGATATTTACCTGTAAAAACTTCCTGAGTAAACTTTGATCTTTCGTCTAAGTCATCATAATCATGTGTTGTATTGCTATGTGAAATTAAAGCTGATGGTCTGGAAGGGTCTTCTTCAAGGGGAATAAAAGAGCTGTGCTCTAACACAGCATGAACAATTAACGTATAAGTAAGAGTATGTGTGTGTGTATCACCTTCTAATATTTTTGTCTGAGTTATTGTCTATGCTTAACTGAAGTTGTGGGTTTCAAGCACAATTATTCTACTGATTGTTGTGTTATGATGATAATTTTGATGTCATCTCTCGTACATCTGATACATAAGGCTTTTTTGTGGTTAATATTTCTGCTTAAATCCATCCATGATTACTCTTACGTTTGTGAGACTGAGTTTTCTAGCTAGCTAAATGGTAGTTGAAGGCTGTACGTGTGTTTTTGCACACATGGAAAGTACGATTGTTACAAGTATATGTTGCTATGATTATAAGATTTGCTGCAAAATGGTTACTTGTTGATACGTGTACTTGAGATGTATGTATGTTAATATACACGTGTTCCATCACATATGGGCCAGTTTATGTGCACTTAATTATGTATACAAATACACAGGAATATCATTTTAAGAAAACAAAGAATTTGACTTAAATATTAAAATGGATATTTGTGGTTAAAGACTACAGTAATTAACTTATACCGAATCGTCAGAGA